CACTGCTAAGACTAAGAAGTTGTTTAGAATATTGTGGACAATTTTAACCAGCAAGTTACAAGAAAGACAGTGCTGCTCTGGAGATGGTGCTATCGTTCTTGACATCGCTCTTCAAACCCTGCAAAAGCACGATCCCCCGGGAGACAGGGTGGGAGTTCACCCAGATATCAAAGCCGCAGTGTCTGGGCCCTGGCTGTTTCAGCGTCCTGCCCTGCGCCCGAGAGGGGGGAGGGGATTTCCATGAGCGACGGAGAGGATGAAAAACAAGAGCTCGACCTGGAAACTCCCAACAAATCCTGGAAATGAAGTGACTCACACAAACACAGCAGAGGAAGTGCAGCCAGGGCCCTGCGCAGAGGGCCTTCTCAACGCCCCGGAGACGCCAAGGCCAGCGAGCGATCGCCTCCAGCACCCCCCTGAGGACACGGGCGCCCTGCTCTCTGGGGGAGCCCCCCATCCTGCCTGCTCGCAGTGTGCCGCAGGGGTCAGAGCATGGCAAGGCCCTCTCCTGGACAGTGCCCCCTGGCAGGAGTCCGGTCGCGGCCTTGTAAGGAGATGAAAACAGCGGCAGATTAACGGACTGGCCTTCGTCCTCGTCAGCCTCACTTGACGAGGTTGTCAAACCAGATCAGGAGTAAGAAACCTCCCCCCCCCTTCAATCCCCGGGCTGATGGTTTCAGAATGAAGACTTCCAGCATCTCTGAGACGGGGTGCCTGCCGTGTGTCACTGAACTCTTCTCCTAGATCGGCTCCGAATTCTCTCCTAGGGCTCTCCTGCAGCGAGAGGAGGAGGAGGCTACCCTCTGCAGCTCTCATTCCAGAGCGGAGTCTCTGAAGAACAGGGTGAAGAGGTTTATTTGTCTTGGCAGCTCCTCGTGAGCTGAGCAGCCGTCTCCCACATCTCTCGTAGTTGGACAGCTGGACAGGCCGTGCAGGGCGGCGGCGCTGGGGACGAGAGCCAGCAGTGATCCGTGAAAATGACACATTTACCATTACAGTTTCGCAAGAGTGAAATCTCTTAACACACAATTTAAATTATGGGATGTGTGTGTGTGTGTGGGGGGGGGGTGACTTTTACTAAATTGTGCTTGGCATTTGCTATTTCATTTTTGACAAATACAGTATGTCACCCGTGAGAATTGGCCAGAAAAAAACAATAAAGTGAAAAAGTCAGAGAAAGTAAATGGAGGAGTTTGACAGGGAGTGGAGAAACGAAAGACTGCCGTTCGGCGGGTCACGATGATGTTGTAGAAGCCCGGTGCACAGCTAGGCTATGACATCACCAGGAAGCGAGTGAAGAGACGTGACACCCCTTGACCTGTCGCTGTCACTCAATTTTCCATTCAAGG